GCCGAGCAGGCTCGGGGTTTTAATTAAGGCGGCGGCCAGTAAATCTCGCAATTTGTTGGGCGGCGCGATGCGGACGGCGCGCCGCTTTAGCGCGCTGGGGCCGCGGCGGCCGGGGCGGGGCGCCCGCATTCGTTATCGCCCGCCCAGCGCCCGCCCAGCGCCCAGCCCTTAGCACCACAGGCTCAGCGCTGGCTGCTTCAAGGCTGGGCATCAGTCAAATATTGTACATCATGACAGTCGCTACGAGAAACAAAGTAGATACTTTCAATTTCGTATTCAAATTACACACACACACACACACATAATATATATAATATATTATATATATATATATATATAAAATATATAATATATATAATATATATTATATATAATATAATATATATTATATATTATATATAATATATATATATATATAGTACTTATGAATACGTAATACTTTATATACATTACATATAAATCATTTTTGTTCGGAAATTTAAAGAAATAATGCGTTGTTTGTTTATTGTTTAACTTGAATTTAATTATTATTTTTGTATATCTTCAACAAAATAGTAAACACATTTCTCACGTCGTTATGAACTAATATACATTTTTGTTGAAAATGTTTGGGTGCCCCTTGTCTGTCGGGGATACTAAGCACGTTCTTGGCCTGCTTCTAAGTTACCCACACCCCTCAAGTGAAAAATACGTGAATGATAAATTGTGTAGATATTCTGTGTTTTCTCGGTGTTTATTGAAGATGAAAGTAAGTATGAAAATAAGTATTTGCGAAAGGCGCCGATCTGCTATGTCAGCATGGATTTTAACTATAAACTCTCAGCGGCTGAAAAGTGTAACCGGACGGCATCGCCGAATACGGATCATCTGTTTTTAAAGATTCGTCTTAAGTAAATGAAAACTCTAGAGCTCAAATGAATGAAACGTATAATTTCAACCAAGGCAAGAACTGTTCACTATGTCTATAAGCCAAAGTCGTTCTGCGTGTTTTATGGATTTTAATATTTTACGACTTGATATTGTAACTATATCATCTACCAAAACCTTTGTTGTTCAGTCGCCAACATTCTTAACACTGAACGGCTGCTGCAGCAAAGTTTTATTATATAGTTGTGAAATTATTCACGTAGACATGCTTACTGACCAAGTCTTGTCAACAATCTTTGGTGTCCATGGTAACTCGTTCTCCCAAAAACTTGTCGTTACTTTACTATTCTTCAACGCGTATTTCCTTTACGTGGGTGGTCTTCAGGTAACAATATGGTAAACGCAGCAAAAATTGTATAATTTGAAGGGGTGAAAGGGGAAACCTCGAGAAAAACCCACCGAGAGCTTTGTTTGTACACAATGAATTCCTCTTCGATTGACTAGGCCGTAGTCGAGTTCCAATGGTGGAGAGCGTATATAAAGAGCAGGCACGTGTTTGTTATATTGCACATAAATATTTTGGCAGATCCAATGCTTGAGGATGGCGGCAGAGGACTTCCTTCCCATTTAATGCGGTAGTAACGTTTTTCGAAGTTACGAATCGGTCTTAAGGACGACGTTCAGAGATAAGGCAGTTTTTCAGAAATAAATGAATCAAAGTTGACTTACCTACAGCTAATTATAGGATTATTATTCTCAATTCATCAGGTACTAAATCAGTTCACATATTTCCAAAGCCATTAATACTCGTATTAGTTGAAAGACATAGTGAAGGTATCGATTTACCAGTTTCATACTTTGGATACACACAATTATAACTGCAAGTCTATGAAACATATTTTTTGATTAATTAAAATCCAGAATACATCATGAACTGCTTCTATTAACTTTTCGAAAGTTAGAAAACAAAATATATTACCATAATCTTGAAAGTACATTGCTTCTCTTTGCAATGTAACAAAAAAAAGCTTTGTAATATAAGGAAAAACTTCTTTGCAACCAAGATATGAAGATTCTTCAATCAACAAACTTCCTTTACTTATCTTTCGTCTACCAACCAACCAAAAGACTTGTTTGCGATAGACAGCCATCGTATATACGTTTATAATGACAGTCTAAACTATTAAATATTTACGACAGTCATATTATTTTTAAATTTCCGTCCTTGGAAGGAAACTGTGCGCCCTGAACCTTTATGCGCCCAGTCAAGAAAACATTGAGATTCATTTCCAAAGTCTACATTTCGATTTCATTGACAACCGTTCATCGAAAATCAATATTAAACTTACGTAACTACCGCTAATAATATGTCCTCACAGACAACAAATCGTCGAAACATTTCTCTTCATTTTCCATATCAAAATCTCGAGGGGGTAAATGAGTGTTTCACAACTACGGAGGAGCATGCTCGATGAACAGTACATGTTCGTGTTGAGAAAGATAAAGAGTGTATTGTACCCAGAACTTGCTTCATTCGCAACGCTATTTTCTTTATTCTTATTACACAAAGTCGTATTATCTCGCATAAATGGCGCTGTAAGTTCTGTTAACTGCACAGAATATTAAGTGATTCAAGAAGCATAACTATTTTCATCTTCCTACACTATAAACATTGTCCCGAAACGATAAACTTTTGAACTTTTCTATACTTTTACATATGAACTTGGATTAGGTCTTGCTTCTTTCATCTCGAAATTTTCCCAATGTAGCTTTTTTTAAAAATATTGGTTTAATCCGCAATGTGTCTAGGAACTGCCGAGCATTGTCGTGTGCTTGCCATGATCATGGAGGTGAAGGACTAGGCAGGGCGATGCAAAGCATAGCGGGAGGCTGATTTTATTTACCACTTTTCCAGGCTTAGCGGAAACACTTAATCTATACCAAACAGATATTAGTGTATATGTGCGAGATTAAATGTTAACGGTATATCCAGTATTTCGTTGATAATTGAAAAAAAAATTATGAGAAGCGCATGTTATCTAATAAATTATCAAAAACAAAGTTCACAGCAAGTGTTCAGCACGAAATCTGCTAAAACACGAGGCCTAGATATTCTGAACTGAAAAGAATCTCTCCCAACCTGCGTTTAGATCTCCAATCTATCGAATCTAAATCGACTTTTATCAAACAGAAATTTCAGACATTTTTCTCAGAACCATTAAGCACGTGTTAACACGCTATTTCTCCGACATTTTTATTTATTGGAGTGTAACGTGTGACGTAGAGAGTGGGACCGCGCCAGCGCCCGAACACACGGCGGGGCCTCCGCGTCGTAGACCGCAAGGGCGGCGGAGGCCGGGGCGGAGGCGCGCGCGGAAACGAAAATATTGTGCTTCCATTAGGCGGCACCGCGCGCCGCAGTTTCCGCGCCGCTTGAAAAAAGCGCAAACAAAAGCCCGCGCGGGGCGGCCGAGGGCCCTCCAGGCACCGCAACCGCTGCGGCCTTGCCGCGGGCCCCGCCCGCCCGCCACGCCGCCCGACCCCGCGCCGAGCCGCGCTACGTCTAGTCGCGATGCGACGTCAGAAGGATGACAGAACGCCGTTGCTATTGTTGAGTGGTTGGTTGTTAGTGATTTCGGGTGCGTCCACGGATAGGATCGACAATCCCGTAAATGTAGTGCATGTTGGTGGTGATGACGCTCGATGACGGGATCCGGTGTTGACCTACAGTCGGCTAGCGGGGAGTTCTCCAACCAGATATCTTCCACCTGCAGGGCACACGCTCTAAGCTCCCGGCATGGTGTGATAGTGTTGTGCATGTCAATGTTGGTGTGTGTGAGTAAGGAGTAAGAATAGGACACGGAAGGGGACGGAAAGGTCGCCTTCGCACTAGCTAACCAGCTGCTGACGAAAGTGCTTCCACCGTCCGGACACGAACCTAGGACCTCCCGGTCAGAGGCACAGCATTGACATCAGCTGATGCTCTGAGGCACTTCTCTTTGTTCGATGCTAAGCATCGATGTTCAAAATTCAAACACTGATGTTCAAGTCACATCGACTAACATCGATCATTTTAAACATTAGCAGCAGATGGATAAGGAATTACTATAATATTTGTCAGCCAGAAATTATAGAAAGTTATTGAGATTCAAACATGTCTCAGTGTGTGTGTGTGTACTTTTTGTTACTTTCTATGCGCACACTACCGTAGAACTTCGAAAACGTTTATTCAGCACAGTCACAGTGTCGGTGTCGGGGCGTCCGTGTCGGGGCGTCCGTGTCGGGGCGTCCGTGTCGGGGCGTCCGTGTCGGGGCGTTGGCGGTGGTGATGGCATTGTTTGTGGTATTATTAGAATAAAACATCTAGATTCGATATATTTTTGTTTCATATTTTGAAATTAATATGAACCATTGTACCTCATAGCGAAGAAGTACATGTTGCTTCCCAGCATTACCAAAGAATACTTAAACATGTAAATATTTTCGATGAACTAAATGCCTCTGAAATAACTGTAAGATGGTCAGAGGACTAGAGGCGATTGTAGTGTCGGTGCCAGCGAAGACGGCAGCGATGGCGTTGTGGCGGCGGGCGGGGGGCGCGGGCGGGGGCGTTGACGTTGGCGACTGGGTGGCGACGATTGCCTTTGGCAAGAGGCGGAGGCGGGGACGCAGGCGACGACGCGCGACGG